CCAGCACTCTATGAGGGTTCTAATTTCTCCACTTCTTTGTCAACACTTACTATTGTCTATCTTTTTTTATTTTAGTCATCTTATCTGGGGTGAAGTGGTATCTCATTGTGGTTTTGATTTGCATTTCCCTAATGATTAATGACGAGTATATTTTCATGTGCTTGTTGGCCACTTGTACATCTCCTTTGGATAAAAATCTATTCAAATCCTTAGCCCATCTTTAAATTGGATTATTTGACTTTTTATTGTTGAGTTGTAAGAGGTTTTGTTAAAATATATTCTGGATACTAAACCATTGTCAGATATATGATTTGCAAATATTTTTTCCCATTCCATAGATTATCTTTTCCTTTCTTGATGGTATTCTTTGATGTACAAAAGTTTTATATTTTGAAGAAGTCCACTTCATCTATTTTTTTGAATGCTTGTACTTTATGTGTTATATCTATGGAACAGTTGCCTAGTTCACCCCTATGATTTCTTCTGATTTATAGTTTTAGCTCTTATATTTAGTCTTTGATTCATTTTGACTTAATTTTTGTATATGGTGTGAGGTAGGGGTTCACTTTCATTCTTTTGCATGTGGAAAACCAGTTGTCCCAGCACCATTTGTTGAAAAGGCTATTCTTTGGCACCCCTGTTGAAAATCAATTGACTGTAAGTGTATGGATTTATTTCTGGATGCCCAATTCTACTCCTTTCATCGTATGTCTGTCCTTATGCTTTTACCACACATTCTTTTTTTTTTTTTAAAGATTTTATTTATTTATTTGAGAGAGAGAATGAGATAGAGAGAGCATGAGAGGGGGGAGGGTCAGAGGGAGAAGCAGACTCCCCGCTGAGCAGGGAGCCCGATGCGGGACCCGATCCTGGGACTCCAGGATCATGACCTGAGCTGAAGGCAGTCGCTTAACCAACTGAGCCACCCAGGCGCCCACCACACATTCTTAATTACTGTAGTTTGTAGTATGTTTTGAAATCAGCAAGTGTAAATCCCTTGTAGTTCCTCTTCAAGATTGTTCTGATTTTTCAGAGTCCCTTGCAAGTCCATATGAATTTTAAGATTAGATTTTCCATTTCTGCAGAAAGGCCATTAGTATTTTGATAGGAATACACTGAATATATAGATTGTTTTGAGTAGTATTGCCCTCTTTAACAATATTAAGCGTTTCAATTTGTGAACACAGAATGTCTTTCCATTTATTTAGACCGTCTTTAATTTCCTTCAGCAATGTTTTGTTAGTCTTTAGTTACAAGGCTTGTACATCTTTGATTAAACTTATTCCTAAGTATTTTCTTCTTTTTGATGCTATTGTAAATGTCATTTTTTTAAAATTTATTTTTCAAACTGTTCATTGCTACTGTGTAGAAATACAACTGATTTTTGCATGTTGATCTTGTATCTTGCAACATGGCTAAATTTGATTATTTGTTCTAGCAGGGTTTTTTGTGTGTGTGTGTGGAGGGGGTTCTTCAGGATTTTTTATATATATATAAGATCATGTCACATTGCAAATAAAGATAGCTTAATTCTTCTTTTCTAATATGGATGACTTTTATGTTATCTTCTTGCCTGATTCTCCTAGCTACAACCTCCACTACAATATTGAGTCAACGTGTAGGAGTAAACCTTCTTGTTTTGTTCATGATGTTAGAGGGGAAGCATCCACTCTTTTGCCACTAAATATGATGCTAGCTGTGAGTTTTTCTGTAGATTCCCTTTATGAGGTTGAGGAAGTTCCCTTTAATCCCAATTTGTTGAGTGGGTTTTGTCTTGAATCAGTGTTGGATTTTGTCAAATGCTTTTTCTGCATCTACTGAGATGATCATGTGGTTTTTGGTTTTTTAAAAATTTTATCAGTATGGTGTGTTACATTAATTGGCATTTGAATGTTGTGCTGACTTTTCATTCCTGGGTTAAGTCCCACTTGGCCATGGTATATAATTCTTTTTGTATGTTGCTGGATTTGGTTTGTTAGTTTATTGTTGAGAATTTTTGCACCTACATTCATTAGAAAGATTGGTCTGTTTTTTTTTTGTTTTTTTTTTTTTTGTATCTTTGGTTTTGGTTTTGAGGTAATACTGGCCTCATAGAATAGTTGGGAAGTCTTCCCTCCTCTTCTATTTTTGGAAAGAATTTTTGAAGTATTGGTGTTAACTCTAAATGTTTGGTAGAATTCTCCAGTGAGGCTTCCTGTTCCAAAGCTTTCCTTTGTGAAACTTTTTTTTCTTTCAAAGATTTTATTTATTTATTTGATGGAGAGAGAGTGTGAGCACAAGCAGGGGGAGCAGCAGGCAGAGGGAGAGGGAGAGGGAGAAGCAGCCTCCCCGCAGAGCAGGGAGCCCGATGCAGGGATCGATCCCAGGATTCTGGGATCATGACCTGAGCTGAAGGCAGATGCTTAACTGACTGAGCCACCCAGGCGCCCCTGAAACATTTTTTGATTAAGACTTCAACTGCTTTCACTTATGATAAGTCTATACAAATTTTCTATTTCTTTTTGAGTCAGTTTGGGTAAGTTTATGTCTTAAGAGGAATTTGTCCATTTAATCTATCATGTGCAGATTTATCTACTATAATTTCAAACAGTAACAGTTAAAAAAACATGAGAAAAATGAAGAATTCTGATCGATCTTGAATAAAGAGCCAAATATTTGCCTTTTTTAGCCTAAGTATCCTAGAAGAATCTAATGTCACTTTGGTAATAAGGAATTTGAGAACTAACTCTTGAAGAAAGTACGCAAAGTAGAAGTATAAAATGTTCCTAAATGGTATGCCCTAAGAGGAAGATTGGAAAATGTTCAAATATAGGCCCTTGCATTTGTGAGTTCAAAGTGAATAAGTGAATTCAGTCTATTAATGAATAAGACATTTTTCCTGAATAAGTATTATAGTTTTTTGTTTTGTTTTTTTTTTTTTTTTTAGTTTACTAAAGGGACATCAAAGAGATGAGATTCTAGATTGAACCCTTTCCTGAGATCTGGGCAATTCATGTTCATTGAATTAGTTTTTCTTCTTTTTTTTTCCTTTCTCTCTCTCACTTTCTGTAGAAAACAAAGAAAATAAATGAGTTATAAAGTAATTCCTCCTCAAAATTCAAATTGGTAACAATAATGTTAATAGTCAATTTTATGTCAAAAAAGAAAGCTTAAGATAATTGTAATGTAGAAACATTTTCATACATTCTATTTTCAGCCACTCTGGGCAAATTATTTTACACTAGTGTAGATATATATTTGTTCTTTGGAGGGTAACTCACTACTTCTTAATATCTTTTTTTTGTGTGTATCTTAAGATAGGGTATTCATTTGAATCTATTTAGTTAAAAAAATCAGTGTTTAAGTGAGATCAATCAATCACCATTTTTCTTCACTCTGTTTATCTTGCCCCAATTAACCTTTTTTAAATGTATAATTATTTAGTATTGGAAAAAAATACGGGACTTCAGCAGAGATTTTGTTACATAGAACATAGTCTCTCTTCTTATCTGGTAGAGCCAGGCATTTTTAAAAAATATTAAATTGTATATAGAAAAAGAGAGAGATGGCAACTTGGTTTAAATGACATAACAGGGGCACCTGGGTGGCCCAGTCGGTTATGTGTCTGCCTTGGGTTCAGGTCATTATCCCAGGGTCCTGGCTCCCTCTCCCTCTGCCTGACGCTCCCCCTGCTTGTGCGTGCATTTGCACTCTCTCTCTCAAATAAATATTTTTAGAAAGTAAATGACATAACATGAACATAGTGTGTAATCATGCAATAAACTTACCAGATTATTGGCGGCACAGTCTAATTTATAGGTATATGACTTGAGATAGAAAATCAACTGTTCTCCTTGCCTATGTGGGTAGTAGCATCCTGAATTCATATACCACAAGGGATATGTGGCTGAGGCATCACTGCAAATGGGAAAGTAGGAAGATGAGGTGTTTTAGGTATCTTAATGAGGAGTTCAGATTTTTATTTTCTAGGAGATGGAGAACGATTGGTGGATTCTGATCAGTGGATGAGATGTGGTCATTTGCCGGGAAACATCCCTCTTGGAGCTCTGTGGAGATGGATTTGATCAGGCAAGTCTTGTCTTTTTGAGGAGGACACCCTTCATCTCGAGGTGGACTTTTTGGGCAGTTGGTCACAGGGTCATTTTGCAAAACTTTTCCATCCAGACCCAAAAATTAAAGTTATTTCAGTGAGAATCTAGAGCACAGTCTAGGTCATGTTATATAAATCAGGTTGGACTTTGAAAAATGGAAAGTCCTATTTTCATACATTGCTAATAAAAACAAGCTTATGACTGCTCTCTGAAAACTCTAGGCAATACCCCAGGCTTTTATTGTTTTAGTTTCTAGTACATTTGTATTAAAATGTTCTGTTTTTGGAATGGGTCAGAGCAAGGGGCACCACTTAATTTATTTTATCTTTTGCATTCTATAATGTATAAACATCTGTATTTCACGCAGCTTTTTCATTTCATCTTTATGACACCTCTACTGGGCACTATCCTCATTTTAAAATTAAAGAGGCTGATGCCCGGGTTAAGCAACTTGGCCTTCATTACAGAAATAGAGTTGGAATTTGAAGCCAGGTCTCTCCCAACTCCAGAGTGTTTTTCCCCCAATAGATCACCCTCCCTCTTTGATAGAACTTGTCTAATTGCAATGCCATTTTTTTCTGTACACCCCCTTCCTTAAACATTTTCTCCATGTCGTCTGCAGGCATTGGCTGATTTAAAAATCTGCCCATCTCTGGTTCAGGATAGCTCAGCTTATTGCATTGTTTAGCACACGTAGCCCCTAGTTTCTCCCATAATAAGAGGATAAAGAAGAGCCAGAGGAGCGCTGTTCTCCAACATCTTACATCACTCTGCAGACAACTGGCAGTCAGGAGAGGGGCAGCTGCCACACTCTTCAGATATCTCTCTATTTAAAGTTCAAAGAGACGCTGGATGACACCAACAAAGAGGTGAGCGTGGCCCTGACCAACCCACCCAGCAACAGGAAGAATGGCTGAAAAAGGTAAGATTTAAGGCATCAGACCCTCTTGGCAAAACAAAGGTCCAAGCTCCCTGGTTTATTTTACATTCCTCAGTATTTCGTATTTCTCAGTTATTCTGAAGAGTGTGGTATCACTGCCAATGGGGCATTAACCATGTAAGTTAGCACGGCTACAAAAAAATGCATCGGATACACAATTTATGGACCATGTCTGTATGTTATATATGCTTTTAAAAGGACCAAACAAAAAAGCTTAATTTGTTTATGTTTTTTTCAAAATATGAGTTAGAAGTCCATTATCCTCCAGGGTTATCCTACACTGGAGGTATTGTGGTGTGCTGGACCAGAATGAAGGACATCTGATTTCTTTGTCAGGTCTGCTACTAAACAGCCATGTGAGTTAGGGGAAGTCCCTCTACCTCTCTGGACCTGTTTTCTGCCTCTAAGATGAAATAAATAAAAAGGGGTTAGTCATCCCTAATATGCTTCATATCTGAATTTCTTTTTTTCTGCTTTTAAAATGTGTATTATATTTAAGAAAAATGATTTGAGTCTAATATGACAAAAGGAGCTGAATATATATTGTATCCAAGAAACACTTTTTAAATACCTCCAGGAACTGTTGCTTTTAACTTAGACAATAATCCCAGGAGATATACAGTATTATCATCATTTCCATTTTACAGATAAGGAAACTGAGGCATAGCCAAGTATAGTCACTTGTCTGTGATCACATTCTAGAAAGTGGTGGTTCCAGGTTCTGAACACAGACAGTTCTGTTTCAGAACACAGTGCCCTTAAGGATACTTCCAGGTATAACCATCTGGGCATGCTCAGGATTGAACGGAGAGAAGCATTTTGAAATAACTCTTCATATTTAAAAAGAGGTTTTGTGCTTGTTTGCGCTGTAATGTAAAGTGACCTATGCAAAGTATGTTGTGTTCTTATATGTTCCTGTTTCTTTTTTTAAGATTTTATTTATTTATTAGAGAGAGAGAGAGAGAAAGCAGGGGGAGGAATAGAGGGGCCACGAGAGGGAGGGGAAAGACTCTCAAGCAGACTCCACACTGGGCGTGGAGCCCAAAGTAGGGCTCAATCTCGCAACCCTGAGATCCTGACCTGAGCGGACACCAAGATTTGGACACTTAGCCAATTGAACCACTCAGGGGCCCCATATATTCCTATTTCAAAATGATGCTACAGATTATGATAAAACTTAAAATATTCGTGTTAAAAGAACACAAATGCAGGTATACTTTGTGTGTTAAAATGCATGGTCAATTGGGGCACCTGGGTGGCTCAGTCTGTTAAGCATCAGACTCTTGGTGTCCACTCAGGTCATGATCTCAGGGTTGTGAGATTGAACCCCGGGTGGACCCCAGGTGGAGCGCCCTGTGGAGCCTCTGCTTGAGCCCTAGATCCACTCAGTACTGGGCTTGGACCTTGCTTAGGATTCTTTCTCTCCCTCTCCCTCTGCCCCCTCCCCGCTCTCCCTCTCTCTAAAAAAAAAAAAAGAAAAAAAGAAAAAAATGCACCGACATTTGTATTGTGTTACAAAGAGTAATAAATAACGAGCTATATACTTTTAGGGCTTTATTATATGTTTTTACATATATTATATGTAAATTTTAGAATTGTATTAAAATATGCATGTATAAGACATTTACAAATGCTCCATTAAAATGTTGGTATTAATTTTTAAGTTCTTTGAAATTGGGAAAAACACTAAATCATACATATGAACAGTTTAAAAAATTACTGCTACATACTTCCATTATAATCACACCTTAATCCATAAAAAGTCTTTCATCCAAATGCGAGTAAAGAGCATATCATAATGTTCATTTTATCCTTAGAGCAATACCACATGGCAGGTAGAGAGAGATTTTTCCATTTAGTGGTTAATGCTTTGTTCAAGGTCACAGCGAGATGGAGAAGCAAGGAAAACCGGTTGAATTTGCAAGAGTTAAGAGAGATTCCACCATTTTGGAAGCATAGATTTAAACTATTAAAATTCATTTTAACTGCCCCAAATTTGCTTTTATAAGAGTGCCTCCTAATTTTAGAGGTGTCTCTTTTCCTGATGGTTTTGTTTTAATAGCACTTAAAAAAAACTTTCCATTTTAAAGTTCTGAACCTTGTAATAGGCACGCAATTGCTAAGAATATGCATTCTCTTGGTCAGCTGATGGCATACAACTTAATTGTGCTTTTCAATTAAGAATATATCTGAGTCCTTAACATGGAGACATTAATTCTATATGATGTCTATCTGTGCTCTTCTTTACTTTTTTTGTGTGATGTGTGTGTGTGCAATGAATATTAAAAAAATGATAATTTCATAAATTGCTTTTTTTCAGATAAAGGTACAAATAGAAGACACAGGAGGGATCGTTGTCCTCATGTCTTCTATGTGTGTTGGGATCAGGGTTAGTTGCTCTATTGAACATGTTAACAAAAAAGAATCTCTTTTCTCTAGTTGAGAATGATCATATAAGGTATATGCTTTTCTTTTCCTATGATACTGATGATTAAAGTCAGCTATCAAAACTAAGAACAATTTTCAACACCTTTCCCTATGTTATGATTATTTAGTTTAGGAGGAATTGCCTCAAGAGTCATTTTCGATTGTTTCTGTGTAGACAGCTGCTGTCTGTGTTGTTGAACAAATGCAGGAATGTGTTTTGCATACACTAAGCACACACAAACACAATAATACGTGATCCTCACCACAACTCAGGGAGGTAGATATCACAAGTTTCCTTATCTCTACAAATAGGCAAGTCCAAGCTCAGCATGGCTCAAGGTCACATAACTGTAAAACGAGGACCTATGGTTTGAACACAGGTCTTCTGTTTCAAATAGCCAGCTGATTCCCATGTACCCTTCGTAGAACAGAAGATAACAATCACGTCTCAGAATGACGCAAGAGTGTATTTTTTTCCTCTTATCAGATTCCTTTTATTCTCTTGATTCAGAAGATACGATGCCAAAATGACCTACCTAATCTGCTTTCTTTTATTTTTAAGCAGAGTCTACATCATCCCGCCTTCTGGTCCCTATTCTTCTCTTGATTGGCTGGATTGTGGGCTGTATCGTAATGGTTTATGTTGTCTTCTCTTAGAAAGGTAAAGTTTTCAATAATTGAATATGTTTATTCAGAAAGACCCTACATTACTCCAGAAATATTCTTTTCTGTTTTACTAACGGAACGTTTTATCATGCAGACAAGAAGACTTCAGAGTGACATCATTTAGAAGAATTAAGAAAAGCACCAACATGACAGATAATTAAACGTTTCTCATGTAAATAACTGCAATGTTTGACATCATTTTATAAACTTGGATTTGTAAACTGGTATTTTGGTGTGCATAAGAATCTCTTCCAGAACTTTTAAAGATTCCATCTACAAATAAAAACTATAAGAAACCTGGGGGTAGGAAAAAGTTCCAATGTATGACTAAAAATGCATAACCAATAGGGAGAAGTTTGGTAAATTAAATTACATTAAAACTTTTTTAGGCTATCCCCCCCCTGCAAAAGAAAACTATAGAAAAAAACTAGCTAGAGATAAGAAGAGATATTTCACAGAAAATAAGATGTAAATATAAACTTGCCCTCCACCTCTTGCTCATAATAAAAGAACTGTAACTAAAGCTGCGCTGGAGAACAATTGCTCACCTCTCAGCTGGGGAAAAAAGAAAGACGTTTGATAAGATATATGTTGGTAAGGCTGTGGGGAATAAAGCATGCTCATACACTGTCTTTAGAAATTAAAAATGGTGCAGCATCTTCGGGGGTGTTTGACAGTCAGATATCTGTCAGAATTAAGTATGTATTTAACTTCTGACCCAGCTAACCCTCTTCTCAGAATATTGCCATTTCCACAGATACACACTGGTAAAAGTGCAAAACGGCCCATGCACAGCCTTATTCATTAAGGCATAATGTATTATAGCAAAAGCCTGGAAACAAGCCAAGTGCCCATTAACAGGAAACTGACTGAATAAACTGAGTTCCCCCTACGTAATGTGCTACTTGGGCCGCTGTGAAAAGGAATAAAGGGGGTCTCTATATACTGATGTGATGTCATCTCCAGGTCAGAGTGTTAAGTGAAAAAAGCCAGGTACAGAGTGAGGCATGCTGTCTTTGTGTAAAATGGAGGGGCTAGATCAATATGAACTTTATTTTCAAGGGCTCCACATTCTTTTCTCCAGCACTTTAACATAGAAGGTAATGTTTTCAAGCAGCAATTTAAATGAATTTTTCTATAATAAGTATTTTATTTCCATGTTTCCACATCCAACCTGATCATTTTCTCAGAGAACAAAGAAAGCTTAGTGCAGTAAAGAGAACAAAAGTTTTGGAAGTCAGATTGTTTTATTCTAACTTGGGAGTCCTTTGAATAGTTAATTAATCTCTCTAACCTTAGTTTTCTCAACTATAAAGAGGGATAATGATATTCTCATGGGATTGTTGTGAGGACTGCAGTGTTTTCTAAAGCTGCCTGATCTGAGTCGATGGAGTCATTTGTTAAAAATACAGATTCTTTTTTTTTTTATTAACATATAATGTATTATTTGTTTCAGGGGTACAGGTCTATAATTCATCAGTCTTACACAATTCACAGCGCTCACCATAGCACAGACCCTCCCACAGTATCCATCACCCAGCCACCCCCATCCCTCCCACCCTCACCCCCCCTCCACTCCAACAACCCTCAGTTTGTTTCCTGAGGTTAAGAGTCTCTTATGGTTGGTCTCCCTCTCTGGTTTCGTCTTGTTTCATTTTTCCCTCCCTTCCCCTATGATCCTCTGTCTTGTTTCTTTAAGCTTCTTCTCTAAGAGCTCATTTTGGTAGGTCTGGAGAAGGCCTATTAAAAAAATCAATTCTCCAGGTGATTTGTATTATCACGGAAGTTTGGAAAACACACCTATAACATACATGTGTATGTAGGCATTACTCCCTGATAACCTATAGACACTGATCTATGATAGCTTATATTGGTAAGTTTTCTGTTTATTGTTGCAGCAAAACATTAGCACTTTATTATATAATATTACATTATATTCTTTAATTACATGAATTATAATGAGACGTATTATTTTTCCACTAATATTTTCATATATGCGAATTTTATTTCCGGTATTAAATTTAAGTTCTTTATGGGTAAATCCATTTCTTATCTTTCTGACTTACAGACTATAGTTCAAAATAGACAACTAATAAATATGCATCAAATGGGTAATTATCTCCCCCCTACAATATTCATGAATACACAGTGTTGATGTTCTAAGTTTGAACTTTAAAGATGTTATTGAAGCAATTTAAGCTGGATTAGAATTCTCAAAAAAGTTACTAGTGATCTATAATAGGTTCAAGTAGGTGATTGCATATAAATTTTACAAGGCATGGAATCTTAAATGTTTTTAAATTTCCAAAGTCTTCAGTTTACAGTGTATCATAGTACAGATATAATTATTTGAGAAGAGCATAGTGAGTTAAGTGTTCCTTAACACTGTGGATGGCACAGATGCTCAGCCTTAAATCAATCACTGCACCCACACTCTATGCCTCCCCTTGGCCCCAAGACCTATACTGATGTCAAAGCTGAGAAATACTGCTTTCCTAATACCTATTAGGACATAAAATATAAAAACCTTTAAAGAAAGCTGTTTATTACCCTCTGTGTCTGGGAAAAGTGATAAATTCCATGGAGTTTTAAAATGTCTGAGCAAACTCCTCTACCAAGCCTGGTAGAGCTGAGAATATTCCAAGGATAAATCCTGGAGGAGAGATCCCTGTTGCACAGATATAACGTTTTGAAGTAATACCCATCTATCGATCTTGTAATAAAATAGACCTTAATCTCTCCTTTTTCCTGAGGAAATTATTTCCTAGTTTCACTATTTATTATATTTATTTCTTATTTGTTTTATTTACTATCCTTCATTTTTGCCAATTGCAGTTTCTCAGACATCCCCTTCCCCTTTTTCTTTCTTTTCTCTTCTTTTTTGGACAAGCAGAGTAGGTCCACTTAAAACATAAATATACATTAGCCTAAGATTCCTTTAGAGGAAAGAAAAGAACACCAAAAGCAGAAGAATAATATTTTGAGTTGGTAATTTCCCAGAGAATGAGATAGCTGAATGTTTTACCTTTGTTCCATTCTTCTTTGAAAGTGATTTCTTGTTTTGCAAAGTGAGATGGGTATGCAATTTCTTATAAATCATCTGAACGAATCATAAGTGGGTACAAAGTGATGGCTTTTTTGAGAAGGACAGAAATATTCCAGGGCTTTAGAGTCTGGCCGTTATCTGAGATTTAAGGCCATTTTCAGTAATTTCCTTGGGCTGGGCATACATGCCCTTATAAATTCACAATTCCAAATGACACAAATATATATCTGATAACAGTTATTTTTAGAGCTTATGCCCATGAATGTTAAAGGAAATAGGATATTGATTAGAATCTTGATGCTGAATGAAACAGGGTCATGGAGAAATCGTTTTGACTTGTAGGTTACCTGCTCTGTAAAACTGGTCCACAAGTGGAGAGTAAATGGAAACAGACTTTTAAGTGGTTTGCATATTGATGCACTCAAGGCCTCTCAACTGGCGCCTTATTTGTTTTCTCCCATCTCTATCATGTGAAGGTCTACTCAAGATAGGATGCGTTCAGATTTAGAAAATGCAATGCCTCCGTCTAATACACATGGTGATCTCATCAGGATGTTATAGACTTTGGGCATAGTCTTTATTTATCTTGCTAAAGCTAGAAACTTGCTTTGGAGCTTGTTGACAATAGGTGGAGAGATTGCTTTGGAATCAGAGTACGATCACCTCCTCAAGCATCTGGTCAGATTCATCTGATTTTGTTTTTCCCTTTGCTTTCTGCTCTTGTCTTTTTATTTGATGTTCTCTCTCCCTTGCTTCCTATTCCCCTGTTGTATGTAATCAGCACTTTCTTTCTGGTCTCAGTAGCCTGTGCAGAGTAATGAGATCACCTTGCCATCAGTAATTCCAACTTCCTTGGCTCTTGCACCCCCCCGGTGAGGACACGAGGAGGGTCTCACATGGGCTTATGCATATGTCTGCTGCTCTAGTCACCACTTCTCCTCTGCAGAACCCAGCAGTCTCTTGCAGGCACTATGGGCTCCCCACATGCCCAATCTCTCCCATGGCAGCCCTCACCGGACCTGTATATGCTGGTCTGTGGGTAAAGTGCTGTTTGTGGAGCTCTAAAGCAGGGCCGCCTATGTCACAACATGCCTCCGAGCTTAATTAACTAGTTCTTTTAGTTTTTATTTTCAGCCTATCCTCTCGCTCACTAGGACCCAAGCATTGACCCGGGGCAGGGCCAGATAGACCCAAGTGGCACCTGCCTTCCTGAACTCACAATCAACTGTGCCAAGTTCCGCAAGCCTGGCTTCTTCTTCAACAAAGAGGAGTTCGCCCAGAGGTCTCCTCAGGGTTATGCAAGCAGACTCACGTCAGGATGCCAAACATGCTGAGAGCCGTTTGGATCTCACTGCCCCTCAAGCAACATATCTGGATTCTCAGAGTCTTCTGACGCAAATAAGTAGGCTCAGTGATAATTTAAAACAAAATACTGGTCTCAACCCACCAAAATGATTTTAAAACCAGTGGATTGGTCAACTGTTTAAAGAGCACTACTTTAGGGCACCTGGGTGGCTCAGTTGGTTGAGCGACTGCCTTCGGCTCAGGTCATGATCCTGGAGTCCCGGGATCGAGTCCCGCACCGCGCTCCCCGCTCAGCGGGGAGTCTGCTTCTCCCTCTGACCCTCCCCCGTCTCATGTGCACTCTCTCTCAAACAAATAAAATCTTTAAAAAAAAATAAAGAGCACTACTTTAGGATTCAGAGTTTTTAGACATCACCATCTCGGTAAGAGTTTATCTGACTACCCATACCTTCAGACACACGCACGCACCCGCACGCGCGCACGCACATGCAAATAGGGTTCTTTGTTCTTCCTAATTGAGGCCTTTACCCCTTTGTATCCCCCACTAAGAGGTAAGCTCTCTTTTTAAAATTGCTGTATAGTCGTCATATAATATTATATTAGGTTCAGGTGTGCAACATAGCGATTCGACATTTATACTGATTACAAAATGTTCACCTTGAAAAGTGTAATAAACTCTTTCAACGTAGGATGTGTGACAGTGTAGGATTCACTAGACAGGACAGGAGGATGTCCAATGGCTGTATATCAAGCAAATAAATGAAGAAATGAATGAATGCCTGA